AGGCCCCAGGGGTGGGAGCAACTGCAAAGCAAGTTCCAGGCCATCCTGGGCTACATGAAACCCTACTGAAAACTGAAAATAAAGAAGCAGGAGAGATAGCTCAATAGTTAAGCACACACTGGAGCTGGAGAGATAGCTCAGCAGTTAAGAGCACTGACTGTTCTTCCAGAGGTCCTGAGTTCAATTCCCAGCATCCACATGCCAGCTCACAACTGTCTATAACTCCAATTCCAGGGGATCTGAACCTTCACACCAATGCATTTAAAATAAAGTTAAATAATTAAAAAAATAGTTAAGCACCCTGACTGCTCTTCCAGCACCCATATGGCAGCTCACAACTGTCAGCAACTCCAGTTCCAGGAGACCCAACACTCTCACACGGACGTGTATGCAGGCAGAAGACCAATGTACATAAAATAAAAACAAATCATTTTTAAAAACCAGGTGGTAGTGTCACACACCTTTAACCCAAGCACTAGAGACAGGTGAATCGCTGAGAGTTTGAGACCAGCCTGGTCTACAGAGCGAGTACCAAGGGCTATGTAGAAAGACCCTGTCTGGAAAAAGTAAATAAATAAAACAGATGTTTTAAATGAAAATAAAAAAGAGGGTTTGGAGAGATGACTCAGTAGTTAAGAGTGTGCGTGCTGCTTTTCCAGAGGACTAGAGTTCAGTTCCCAGCCCATGTATTTTGAACAGCTCACAATTGGTGGTAACTTCAGTTCCAGGGGGGGGATGTAATACCCTCTTCTGGGCCTCCTCAGGCACCGTCACCCATGTGGCACACACACATAAACCATTTATTTTTAATTCTTTTTGGTTTTTGGAGACAAGGTTTCTGTGTAGCTTTTGGAGGCTGTCCTGGCACTTGCTCTGTAGACCAGGCTGGCCTCGAACTCACAGAGATCCTCCTGCCTCTGCCTCCCGAGTGCTGGGATTAAAGGCTTGAGTCACCAATGCCCGGCAGAAGCCATTTTTTAGAAAAGATATTTTAAAAGTTATGTGTATCTGTGTAAGTACACGTGAGTATGTTTGATTGACTAGAGCTGGATATATACATATATAATATTTTTAAAAATTTATTTATTATACAGTGTTCTGCCTTCATGTATGCTATATGCCAAAAGAGGGCACCAAATCACATTTGTAGATGGTTATGAGCCACCATGTGGGTTGCTGGGAATTGAACTCAGGACACCTGGAAGTGGAAGAGCAGCCGGTTCTCATTCATCTGAGCCATCTCTCCAGCCCCTATAATTTTTGTTTTGTTTTGTTTTCTAAGGAAAGAGAAAGTTAATGAACTCCAGGCCAGACCAGCCCAATCA